TTATTAAATTACAACAACTTTTGGGGCACAACGTTAAGAGAAACTTGACATAAATGTGCAAGAGATCACATATATATACATACGATCAAGATATCTACAATAAAAGAAGCTTTGATAATGATGATGATAGAGATAGAAATGCCTTTAGGACCAAATGCTATACCAATAGAGGCTTCGAAGTGAATAGGAGAATTTGGCATATTCTAGTTGACCAAGTTGTTTAACAAGATTTTGAGAACAAAGAAAATGCCAGACAAATGAAGAAAAATTGTGGTACCTATTTATAATAATAAATGAGACATACATAGTTGTACGAACTATCAACGAGCCAACTTATGAGCCACACTATAAAGCTGTGAGAATAATTGAGCAACATCTACAACATGAATCGAGTATATGAGAAAATCAGTTCGATTTTATGCTAGGGAGGTCAACAATTGAGATTATTTTCCGACTTAAGCAATTGATTGAGAAGTTTAGGGGGAAGAGAAAAGACATCAAAACGATCTTTGACTTTAACGACTTAAAGAATGTATATGATAAAGTACCTAGATAGTTAATTTGTTTAGTGTTGGAAAAGAAAATAGTCTTTAGATGACTGACATGGTGAGAGATTTATACGATGGAGTACTAACTAGTGTGAGATCAACCAGTGAAGAGATAAGTCAGTTTTCAGAGACAATAGGCTTACATCAGAGATCAGCATTGAGCACATTTCTCTTTGCTTTGGTTATGGACGAGTTAACTAGGCATCAAAAGGATGAGGTACCGTAATATATGTTGTTTGCGGATGACATAGCTTTGATTGATGAGACATGAAACAATGTCAACACAAAATGCAGAACTTCTGAGGGATTTTGTAAAATCAAAAAATATTAAAATAAGTTAGTTTAAAATAAGATTATATGGAATGCAAGTTTAGTAATACAAAGAGTAGAAACTAGGACTTAGATGAAATTGATGGCCAAGAAGCACCGAAACAAGATTATTTTCAATATCTCAGCTGATATCCATGAGAATGGAGAAATTGAAGAAGAAGTCGCTCAAAGAATTAGAACTAGGTCGACAAAGTGGAGATGTGCTTTTGGAGTCTTATGTAACCCTGACATACCAATGAAACTGAAGGAGGAGTTCTACAAGACAGTTATAAGACCAGCCATGCTTTCTAAGATAAATGTTGTGCGGTTAAGAAAAAAATATATTCGTAGAATGAGTGTAGCTAAATAAGGATGTTGAGATGGATAAAAAGAAAAGACATAATTTGAAATAAACATCATAGAGAATTTAGGGTAGCTCCAATAAACAATAAGATGAAAGAAAGTACACTTAGATGGTCTAACCATGCACATTGTCGGCCCAGAACAACAATGGTTAGTAGGGGTGATTTGATTCAAATGTCTAAAAAGGCGAGTGGAAGGCCCAAAATGACATGGATATGGTCATTGATGATCTGACTAAGGCTATGGAACTTGATAAAGCAAAATGGTATAACATGATTCGTGTAGCCAACCCCAAATAGTTGGAATAAGGTAAAGATGATGATGATGACGACGATTGATCCACCACATCCGCACCATTTTTTGAGCTTTAATATTCATAATTAGAGATAGAAATAGATTTTAATAGTGTTTCCCCACAATAGACTTGCATTTTTATATGGGGTGTGAGGTGAGGCAATACTTTGTAATATATAGCCTCATCCTTACGCCAACAGCACCCAAAAAAATAAGAATTTTGACCCTTCTAGACATGGTATGAAAAGATAAATCATGAGCTTGATGTATAAGCAAGAAATTTGTCTAAGGTGGCACCATTAAAGTGGTTTATTTCTGTCAAGATCAGAACCAGTATGACCACCATGCAGAGGAGCCAGACTTAGTGACAGATGCACATTGGGATTTTAGGAAAAATTTCACCATTTCAATAGATAAATGCATAAGGATGAAAATTCATTGGGCCACCTAGCCTACAAAACAATTGTAGGCAGATGGCACAGATTGAATGATTAGACGGCTATTGTTCAAAAACACAAGCAGAAGCATTTTGTTTTTTACTTTTTTTCAAGCATATCTTTTTGTTGTTGTTCCTAAGTGAGGTACACCTCTCCCCAAAATTTAAGGCCAAAAGGAATTATAAAAAAAAAAAATGTAAAAGATAAAACATAACACAGACATGTCAGTTGTCTAGTGCTCGGAGATTGACTCTAAGCCATCTAGCCTATATGAATAGGATGATGGCTTACAAAAAAAAAACCAAATTCAACATTTCTCCATATAAAAAATGCAGTCGGCAAATTTGACCCTTTACGGAATATGTAAAAAGCACTAAAGCTGGTTAGCGCATTCTCATCCTATGATGGTGCTCGAGTGGCTTAAACTTTTGTGTTAGTTAAAAAGGAAAACAATAGGCAAAAAGGAAGACATAACCTATTAGAAAAAAAATTACAAGAACCAAAATGAATTGATAATCCAAAATTAATGGATTATCCTCGATAAATAATTAACAAAATTATAGATATATAGGTTTTTAAAATTAACAAGACTAAGACACAATATGGAATGCAAGTTTAGTAATAATAGGAGTAGAAACGAGGAAATAGTTAATATTGATGGTCAAGAAATACCTAAAATAGATGGTTTCCAATATCTAGGGAGAATGGAGAGATTCAGGAAGATGTCGCACATAAAATTAGATTTGGGTGAGTGAAGTGGAGATGAGCATCAAGGATTTTTATGTGATTGCATATAACATGAGATTGAAGGGATGGTTACCTAGGACGACTGTAAGACAAGTCATGCTCTATAAGACGGAATGTTGGGAAATCAAGAAACAATATTTCCATAAGATGAGCATAGCTGAGATGAGGATGTTGAGACGGATGTGTGGCAAGACAAGAAATAATAGAATTTAAAAAAAACACATACAAGAGAACTTAGGTGTGGCTTCAATAGGCAATAAGATGAGGGAAAGTAGGCATAGATTGGCTAACCATGTACAATATAGAACTGTACAGCACCGTTAGGAGATTCGATTTCGTTCAAGTTGAACGCTCTAAAAGGGCAAGAGGAATGCCCAAAAGGGCATGGATAACAGTAGTGATAAAAGATATGGTGACTTTTGGTCTTACTGAGTATACGACCCTCGATAGAAAAATAGAAAAAAATGGAGGAACGAGATTTATGTAGCCGACCTCAAATAATTGGGATAAGGCTTGGATGATGACAATGAAAGACATATAGAGCCAAATAATGATAATAAGCCTTTTAAAAAGCATAATAACCACAAGAAAAATACAATACAGAGGTTCGCTTAATAAAAAATCAAAATCCAAAAACTGCTAAAAATAATTACTAGGAAATTATATAGGCTTTCTCAAAATTAAAATTACAAAAATTAAAAAAAGGTTACAAACACATAAATATTGTATTACTTGCCATACGAAATATATGTATTATTTCAAAATACATAACGATAGGATAATAGGAACACATAATCCAATGAACAAAACTCAAAAGTTAAAAGCACAAAAAAGTTGCACAGAAAATTTGAAATAGCATAGCATGGCTTATCTTTTGACTCATGGCTTTTGGGCATTGGGAGAACAAGAGGCTTGAGAAATGAGTGGTGTTTGTCAAAGACAGAGTTTAAAAATAGAGAGTGAACAGGCACTAGATAATGTTCATCTAAGAACTGAACAAATGCAAAAAATTTATTTAGGCCGCCACATGCCCACTCTATTCAACCTTGCAAAAGTAAGAAAAAATGTTCATCCAAGACCTGCAAAAATGAACACTTTTTCCAGGGCCTGAAAAAATGATTAGTGGAACAAAAAATTTGAAAAACAAAATCTGATAAAATGGCTCAATTCCTCCACATTTCAAGCATAGCTAAATATGTGGTGTAACATCCTACGAAGCAATGTATCTTAAACACATCTTAGGCCACATACTCAGCCCTGGCCCAGTTTAAGTAACCCGTCCGAGTTCTAGCAGGCTCGGCCAAGTCCTGCACAAGTCCATTTGACGTCCAAAAACCCATAAATCAAATGTAAATAAATAGTTAAAAATAACTAAAAGCAGCAAAAACTAAAAGAAGTAACAGAAATCAGAAAATGGATCAATCGAAGTTTTTATTTATCTTTGAAATACTTCTGATAAATCAAAAAAGAAAAGGAAAATTTCACAAACTATTACAGAAAACATATAGAAACATATTTCTGAATTTTATATTATTGGTTTTAGAAAGCTTACTAAATAAAGGTTGCATTGGGCAGCAACACTCACCCCGGCAGGGTGACAAAGCCGAGTTACTTAGCTGAGTCCGAGAGCCGACTCTGAGTGGACTACCAAGTCCAATTGGACTTGGCCGAGTCCCCGAACACTGCTCAAAACAATAATATATGTGCTGCTATTACGCACCAGAAGCACAATTTACTTCCATCAGGTTATTTCTAGCAAACAAAATACTAACATCCATAATTTTTCTGAGATAAAACAGGCACTAAAGTTTCTATGCACATAAGTCTGATCTTTAAGCACCAGCCTTTGAATTGCGAGCAAATAAAGTTACTAAATTCCCATTAAAGCTTCATTTTCTCAAAAAAAAAAAAAAACCGTGGTAAACCACTCTAGTTCATTGAACAGAAATCAGATGGATGAAGATCACAACAATTCATTTATAATACTGAGACAAAACATAGTACCTAGAAAACCACAAACAAGTGACTAGTAGTAGCGACGAGTAGATTTACAGAGATCACTTGCTTTGAGGAGTGAAAACAAAGTGCACGGATCTTCATAAGGCTCCAAATACAGATACTAATGGATTTACAGGTTTTTAAACCACGAGGGTTACGCTTAAAACTGAAATTTGGAGGGGGAAACCCGTCTGTTACAGAAACCTTCAAGGAAACAAAAAACAATTGTACCAAGACTCTATTGAAGAAATGACACACTTATAGCTATCCAATTTTTCGGAAGGAAATAGATAAATGAGCATACCTCACTCTTTGATAAAAGGATTTGTGCATTGCTGAGCTTTCATGTGATGAAACCGACTCCTTCCGATGGGCTTGAAATTAAAATGCCCGTTTTCGTATCATACATCTCAAGATATCCATGAACTCCATGGATTCTCTCTGTAATCAACAGATAACACCTACAACGAAGATACACATGGAGACTCATGGGCTTCACAAGATAGAGAATGAGTGAGAGGGGGAAAGAGAGATAAAGGCACACAGACAGAGAGAAAACAAACAGAGCAGATGTCCCTGGAAATTGATGAATGTCTCTCTCCCTCTCTCTCAACAGAGAACATCGACAGGGCATGGAAGTCCATGAACTCTTTTTCTCTCGAAACAGACAGAGAAAGCCAATAGCTGAAACAAATCCATGGATTCTCTCTCTAAATCAGAAGAGAATACCAAAAAATACGCCCGAAATAAATAGCGCACCATCCGCGAACCGCCATGGAACTTCAAACCCTAAAACACAAAGCATTTAGCCAAGCTTTTTTGACGATCATTTTAGGGGAAAAATATCAATCCAAACATCCAAAACCATTAGACCCTCAATCCAAATCTCCAATAACATAGCCCTCTCTCTCTAAATAACTCAAAAAAACTCAGATTCTCTCTCTACAATGGCGATTAATACCATTAATCTCATAAAAATTTCCCTAGTTCCATATGTTTTGTAACCATTTTATATGAATTCAAAAGTTTACTGGCGTCTTCCCGCTCAAAAAGCTTTTACCGCCATTACCGCCCTTTGTTTGCCCATACGTTCTCTGCAATTTAGCCTTATAAATTAGAAGTTTAATCTGAACCGTTGATTTGAGAAAATCTATATATTTTACAAAGTCGGTGATTTAAATCGAACTGTTAATTTGAGGAAACATGCGGCTTTCAGAATTCGACTCGTGGCGACTCAAATGAAAAAGTACAAAAGCAAAGATATATTGGTACACAATTTGTGTACATTGTATACACACAAAAATCTATGGTGTACCACGTAGTTGACGAAAGGAACGGAAAAAAATAAATTTATCAAAATATATATTTTTTGGATAAATTATTTAATATTTCAGTCATTTTTTATTGTTTAAACTTTAAACGTACGATCATGTCATTTTCTCGGTATGTTAAATTTAAATCCAATAAATATTAAATAAAGTATTAAATTAATCATCTCTCATGAATAATTTCATAAATTTCTCAAATAATAATAAGACAAATAGTGGGTTTAATCGGTACATGTCTCATGATATATACTATGCTTCCGCGAGAGCATGAAATATTTTGGTGTGTTTTATAGAATATGCATATTTGACATGAAGTGTGTATACTATGTTGCCTTATGAGCATATTTTATTTCTACTCCTTCGGTTAGAAAACCTACTTAGAAGAGTTTTTTCAATCCGAAAATTTAGGAACTACTTAATAATTATTAAATGAGTATTCTATAAATAAGTAAAATTAAAGTTTTCTATCATTTAGAAATCTCCAACTAAAAATTAGATGGTCTTTATTCAATTTCGAAACATTATTTTTTTCAAGAGCATAAAGAGTATAACTAGGGAACACTTTTTTGAGATTCATCTATGGGTTGAAAAAGTTATAACCCCCAAATTTTAAGATCCTTAAATGAATTTTAGGTAGGGTTTAACGCAATGGAGTAAATGGACATTATGTTCCCACTGGAATATCTTTTGGCTTTGACATGAACTAAAAACATCTTATCTTTTTTTAATAGGTATAGTATGTGGGACGTTATTCATTTTCCATGTAAATGAGTCACTCAACCTTGGCTGTCCCATTTGAAATTTGATATATACTTTTGGGTACGTCATAAAGTCCAAAATAACATTGTGAGACTAGCCCACTTGTTGGTGGCATGACTATGGCCTCTCTATAGCAAAAACAAATAACAATATCATAATTTTTTTCCTAATGTAAACCAAATAATAAATAAATAAACTTCTAGAAATAACCGTCTTATCCCCTTTCTTTATTCTTTGTAGGTTATAATCAGTAAATGATATAGAAATCGATGTTTTGAAAATAGATTTGAATTATAATCACTCGGATCGATAAAAAAATCGATTTTTATGTTGGTTGAAATCATGAATTTGGTTGATTCCCACAAAATAGTTCACTTAGATTCCCTTATTTATATATTTTAAAATTAATTTTTATTTTAAAATTTTCACCTGATACAATGGTTTGGTTTGTTGGTTGTAATATTAAAACACCAACGGGAACTATTAATATCACAATATCACGCACTGGGAAATTCTTTTTATATGTCAGTGGCACATATCTACATTTGTGGGATAAAACATTCATATTTAATGATAGATGGTAAGTGGTGGTCCCTTTGAAAATGGATAAAAATCAATGGGCTATAAATTTTATTAAAAAAAGCATCATTATTAATTTTGAAAACTACCTTTTTATATACGGTGCCGTTTGTAAAACAATACAAAGTAAAGCGTACCCTCAAACAGTGTCGGTAAATGCGATTTCAATATTGAAAATATTTGTGATAGCCTGAAAATATATATTTATCTTTAATTATAAAATTTAAAACTTAAAAAATAATGTAGATTGAACAGATCTATGAAACTTGAAAATCTTAAAAATTTATGGTCTAAAAAATGTATTACTAGATGCACTATTTAAAAAACTTAAAATCGATTGTTTTTCTCTTGTCCAATGCATTTTGATATCGAGATGATGAATTTGAAGATATTTGGATATTAAAACAATTTATTTTAATAAAATTTGTGGGATGAACTCTAATTTGATTGTTTAGAGCCTCGGCTACGACTCATAGCAAATCGTGTCCTATGATTTTGTGGTTTTTAAAACTTTGTGCACTATACACGTGCGCGTGTGGCCGGCATGTGTACCGTTTCTAAAAGTTATTGTGTGAAATGATAGTCCTACGTATGGTACAGGAGGCATGTGGATTATAATAATCTGAAAGGACTCGTGGCGTTATAGGCTTTACGATCCTAAATTAAATTTGCAGTAAATGAAGATTTTTCTTGTGGCATTAATTTAGAGCGGCTGCGTCAGTACCAAACTTAAAAAGGACTCCTCATTGTTAACGAACTGTTTGTTTTATTTTTTTGGATCGACTAAAAATAGACTATTTACTTTAGGGCAATGTTTCTATGCTTCGTTTCCCTACAGTTTTATCCTCCCCTTATCATCTAGCCGTTCAATTTTGATATCATTTAATCTTAGATCCATCGTCTCAAAGTATTTTATTTTTAGTTTTTTTATACAAATTATATGAATATAAAATTTAGTAAGTGTCATCTTCTCATTGGGGAGTACCTATTAAAAATATAAAAAATAAATTTTCGATAAAATATAATTACCAAAATATCTCTTGAAACTTTCAAAAGTATTTTGGTAATTTTATATTGTTGAAAATATTCTTTTTTTATATATTTTTTGCTATAGAGGAATGGACGTCCAAAGTTTGGTAATAAAATAGTTTATAGAAAAAAAATTAAAACTAAAATAGTATAGATACGTGATATTATGATTGGGGCAATCTTAGCCCTCCATTCATAATAGACAGTTTGATAAGGAGGAAGATAAAACTTCTATGTTATAGGAGAAGCATAGAAAGCTTGCCATTTACTTTCGGGTGCGGTTTCTATACGATTGCAATCTTAAACAATTAAATTAATACACACCTTTAAAGTTGTATCATAACATGTAATTTTGTTGTAAAAAATTATTAGTATTATCTTAAAATCTATTTTGTACCTAATTAGAAAATTTTAAATTCCAAAAATAGTTAAAATCAAGTAGATCTATAAATATGTGAAAATCTTGAAAATTGACAGTTTAGATAATGTGTTACAAGATTTTAAACTGTCAATTTTCAAGATTGAAAATATCTATAAATATGTGAAAATCTTGAAAATCTTGAAAATTGAAAATCTATAATTGTACAAAGATGTCACAATTATCTTTTGTTTTTATTCAAATAAAACAAGTTGATTCTCAAGCCACATCATCATCATGTAAAAGGATGGTTATATCCTCACACAATAGTATAAATTGAATGTCATTTTTTATGTATTTTTTATTTTTAATATATTTTAATATTATATATAATATATTTTATTTACATTAATTTTTTTAAAAAAAAACTGAAATCTTTTTCCCTAATTGGCCAAAACACCGAATTACTTCACTTTTTTTTTAACCAAAACGATATATACTTCAAAACAATTCTAACAATACTGAAAAAGAAAGGGAGCATGCACGAGAATGTGGGAGTGACAGAGGGGGAAAAGAGCAAACAAAGAGAGAGTGACGAAAAAATAGAAAGAGAACAAATGAGAGCCAAAGAGAATGAGAAAAAGAGCTCTTCCCATTTTGAAAATTGTTGAGATGAAATTATGTAATAAAATATGGTTCAATAAGTTTAGGGCACCAGTAAAAATACTATTGGACAAATTTATGTCCCTATATATTTTAAAATTATGTGTTTATGGGGAAATCGTATACTAAATTATTATATATGTAGGTATTTTTCCTATCTTTTAAAATAATGTTAATATATGATACGTTTTTTAAGATAATGTCTAATGTGCAATATCTAAAAAAAATAAACTAATATAGATTATTACAACCTTATTTTATAATATTATGTAGACTTTTTTTCCTCTTTATTAGAATTTATACTTATTTAGTACTTTGTGACTCGGACTGAGCAAGAAGTGGAATGCAGTTATTTATGGCCTATCGAGTTGGGTCAACCTGGACCCCAGATCATGGGTCGCAGTCATTTAGAATCGAATCCGAACCACCCGTTGGGTCGGGTTTGGTTATAGAAATAAAAAACAAAAATTAATTTATATCTTAAAATATAGAGCTAATATTATCTAACTTGTAATTTATATTATATCTTTATATACACTATGTTGGGTTAACCTCAATCCAAACCTATACGTTCCAACCGAGCTAGACCCGAGTAGGGTCTAAGTCAGTTGGGCTAGAGCAAGTCAAATTACAAGATCGCCCACTTTAAAACTACAAAATCGTATTTGGTGATTGAGATCTAAACTTACAAAACAATTATAGGATGTAAATTGCTATCCCATTGGTGGATTTTGAAAAGGGTGGACTGGATGCAGTAATTTTGTTTTATTTTACAAAATAAATCACAAATATAACAATGATAAGGCCTCATGTTTCAAAACCTGCATGAGTAGGGTGGATCCTTTACGCCACAAATACACGTCGGATCATTGGATCGACGATCGAGATCTGTCTAAATCAGCAATATAACAAGCTAATAAATATATATATATATAATTTTATTTGTTGGGGGTTTAGGGGGGCAAAGAAAACATTGGATTTTATTTTTTAGAACAAAATAAAGTATAAAGGAGCTTTTCTGGGGGGAAATCGCTGATACCATCTCATAACCTGTTTAGTCCAGGGCGATTCTCGATTCACATTACGGATCCGAAGCTAGTATTTTCGGGTTTTAAAACATCAATGAAACCTATATCCCTAGCACTATTTGATTAGCTGATATGGATTGATAATCGACTGTATCTTAAAGTACAAAAAAAACATTTATTGCTTGCACAATTTTATTAGACTTGTACACGTAAATGTGTGTGTTGGAACTTCAATGCTCAAGAAAATCAAATGCAACCAAAGTAGTAAGCTAAAAGTAACAATAGAATTGGGAGTGTTGTAAAAGCTGATTG